GATGTTAACAGCTGCATACTATATCTTTGTATGACTGGATCTACACTTGATTCAAACATTTTCATACTGTGAAACATTTAGGTTTCCCATATCTGGCATGAACTCCTCTTGGCACTAAAGGAGAGCAGCTGAAACAAAATTCCTGATTTGTTGCTTGAAGACGAATATTTTATGGGCTATAATTACATTTTGAAATTACTATCTTTTGAGTAAAGAGAGCACTCTTATTTATTCAGATCAATAGGAATAAGACCTAAAAAGAAATGGGAGAGCTGACTTCTCTGAGTTCTACAAACTATTGATTCAGTTATCTTGAAGTCCGTGAAAAATTCACATAATTGCAACTTGATCTAACAGCAAAATTGTAGCCCATGGCCCACATAACTTCACAGCCACTTAATGCGGTATTAACAAGGAATCTGGCTCAGATTCTGGGTTGAGGGGAGAAGCATGGAATGGAAAAAGATTGCATGGAAAGACTGGAGAATGGACACAATCATTGTCAATAAGTGTTTATTGAATGCCTAGAACAAGAATACTTCCAGAGTACTCCTAGAGGGTCCATACACTCTCTGAAACTCTAGAGATTATTGTGTATTTATGCATCTACTTTTTCTGGGAAGAGGGTCTAAATATCCCATCAGATTATCAAAAAGATCTGGGACCCCCCAAAAGAACATACATTGCTTAGAAATGTTAGATATTAACATAATGAATTTTGATATTAAAAATGAAACCCACTGAGTGCAGTGGCTCATGTCTGTAATCCTAGCACTCTGAGAGGCCAAGATGGGAGGACTGCTTGAGCTCAGAAGTTTGAGACCAGCCTGAACAAGAGTGAGACCCAATGTTTACTAAAAATAGAAAACATTAGCCGAGCATGGTGGCACATGCCTATAGTTCCAGCTACCTGGGAGGCTGAGGCAGGACGATTGTTTGAACCCAAGAGTTTGAGGTTGTAGTGAGCTACGATGAAGCCACTGCACTCTACCTGGGGCGACAGAGCAAGATTCTCTCGAAATAAAGGAAAGGGAAAGAGAAAGGGAAGGGGAAGGGGAAAGGAAAAGGGGAAGGGGAAGGGGAAGGGACCCTAAGGTTCTTCATAAACATGTAGTAACATACATGTTCAAGGTATAAATCTTCACTGCCATGCTTCCTTCTGAAAGTAACCCAGGAGAGTGTTATAATGAGAACATGAGCAGATAAAATATGTACCTTGAATCTTTTTTTCTTTTTTTGCTCAAGGCTACTTTTTTCTCTAAAACTTTCCGTTCTTTAAGGACTTCTTTAATTCTTGGGGTTTTAGGTTCCAAACTCTTTATTGATGATTCTTCTAAGTCCACACTACTTTTGCCTAGGAAAGAAACAATCAATAAAATGTATTTCAGAAAAGAATTTTTGTTCAATGCAATATTCTAGAAAAATGCTTGACACTTTAGTTAAAATAGCATAGATTAATTCCATGTCATATTACCAGCAAGGCTTGATTACTCACATGTTAAAAATCCATTTTCCAGCGATAATTCATTTAACCATTACTGGAAAATAAACTGTTAGCAAATGAGCTGCATAAGCTGGTACCTGACAAAATAGTTAATTTAGATTTATCAATAAAATAAAAAAGAAAAATTACTAAACAAATGAGATTAACACATAAGGAAATCTTATTTGAGAATAGATCATTTTATTTTATATTCATATCTCAGAATATAAGAATATCTAGAAAATAATGAAATATATATGATAATTTAAATATTAAAAGTTAACATCTCCTATACCCTGACTCTTGGCTTTTGAAGACTTTGTCTTTTCTGCCTTCTGTTTTCGTTTTTCTTCAAGTTTCTCTCTATTAATTTGCCTTCTTAAAAGCCTCTCTTCTTTTTCTTTAGCCTGAAATCACAAAATATACTCTGTCAGATTATCAGTCAAAAGCAAAAACACTCTGAAAAATAATACATAAAACAAACTCTTGGTTTGCCCTTCAGATGTTCTTACGAATCAATGGGCTCTGCAAAAGTGCATATACACTATATATATTATACACACATATCTGTATGCATGTATTTATGTATATATGTATGTGTGTTTCAATTTGGAAGCTACCAGAATAAAAGAGACAGATGTGAAAATTTTGCATTACTTTTTCAGAATGCCATTAGTTTAAAGGATGGGCGAGGTAATATTTTGGGAAAAAGTGGTTAAATAAACTGGTTGTTTCAATTAAAAAGACAGCTATGAAAATATCTATGAACATCAAGTATATATAGTTAGGTCTCCAAAACTTTTCAATTATTCTTAAACGAAAAAGTTGAAATGCAGATTTAAGTGATAAGCTAGCCCCTACAACAAATTTGACTTGCTGATTATATTCTTGGGACCCAAGCTTTGGACTTGGGACTTTCTGCTGTTGTATTTTAAACCAGGGAGAATGAATAATAGCTATGCTACTCCCAGTACACTGTTCTGGCCCAGCAAGAGCTCAAAGTCCAAGCGCCAAAAAATCCTAAGCAGATGCATAACCCCTAACCAAGTAACCTTTTCAAGAGACAAGTCTGGAAGGAGGGCAGACCAGTATTAGCATTTTGGTGTAGTTCCTTCAAATCATTTTTCTATGTAATAATATTTCCTGATTCTGGAATATATATAACTTTTCAGATTTTAATGTATCTGAAATTGTAAGCCATCTTAAAACTGGTGTATACATATAATGAGGTAGTGATTTTCTCTAAAAAGCTGTTATTAATTCAATGGTGCATGTTATAATTGGAAGCATTTTCAAATCCAGGCAACATGTGAACTGCATTTCTCTCTCAATACGATGTTAACAGCTGCATACTATATCTTTGTATGACTGGATCTACACTTGATTCAAACATTTTCATACTGTGAAACATTTAGGTTGTTATCAGTTTTTCACTACTACAGGCTGAGCATCCCTAATCTGAAAATTCAAAATGCTCCAAAATCTACAACTTTTGAGCACCACAAGTGGAGAATTCCACACTTGACCTCATGTGACAGGTGGCAGTCCAAACACAGTCAAAACTTTGTTTCATGCACAAAATGATTAAAAACATTGTATAAAATAACCTTCAGGCTACGTGTATAAGGTGTACATGAAACATAAATGAATTTCAGGCTTAGATTTGGGTCCCATTCCCAAGACATCTCATTATGTATATGCAAATATTTCAAAATACAAAACGCTTCTGGTCCCAAGCATTTCAGATAAGAGACACTCCCGTATTAGTAATGATGACACAAATACCTCTGGTCACGTGTTTATCTACCTAGTTAAATGACAGGATTCCTAAAGGCAGAGCCTGTCTCTCTCTGTTTCATATGCATACCAACACCTTGCACACAGACTATCCAAGTTTGTCAACCTGATGAAGTAGGCTAAAAATAACAGATCAAATTGGACTTACAATAGACTGTCGCCGTTGTTCTACAGTAAGTTCATCATCAGAATCACTGTAGTACTTTGAGTAAAGATATGGTTTGTGAACATAAGCATGTCGTACACTTTTTGCTTTTCCTTCACTAGAATCACTTGTTTGAGTTTTTGTTTTATTCTGTTTGTTCTTCTCTTCATCTGGAAGAAAGTTAATAGAAAGAGGAGTGCTCCTGTGCATTAGTAATAAAATCAACATTATTCTGTACAAGTAGCAAAAGCTGTATCAATGTAGTTTATGTTTATTTGTAGGTCCAAAAGGGGAAATATCAATATGTGAAAATTATGGAAACTGACGTTTTTAAAAGCTAGATCCATATCTTAATTTATTTCTTAACAATCAGTATCTCATACATAAAGGATGAATACAAAGAAAAATAAGATATTATAGTTTATATTTATGTTGTTAAAAGAAAAACTTCAGACAAATTATATTTAATAGAGTTTACTTGAGCAAAATAATTCATGAGTCAGGCATCACTCTGAACCAGGAGAGGTTCAGAGAGCTCTGATTTAGCAGTGTGAATAGCAGTCTTGTATAAGCTGAACATGAAAGCAAAGTAAATAAATATTTGGATTGGCTACAGCTAGGTATTTGCCTTATTTGGGAATGATCTGATGGAAAGTCTCTAGTTAGAGGTTAATAGGTGGTTTCTGATTGGCTATAGCTTAAACTTTGTTTTACTATTTACACTCACTTCAATTTGATTATGTAAGAATTCTAGGCACTGGAGCTATCTCAGCCTAAGGCCTCCAATTGCCCCCCACCTCACTCCATGTTCTCCTGACAAATAGCTAATTCTTATTTGTTTGCCAATGGACTTGATATGAATGCTCTACCACTGTTAAGTTGAACAAATTCACTTGATGCTGTACTTTCAAATAAACTTGAGATTTTAATGACTACCACTAAGTTTATCATTTATGGAAGAGGCAGGAATCAATAACTGGTCTACAGCAAGTATACACTGAAACTCGTCTACATTAGGAAGGTAATTTGTTTCCCTTTGACACAGTAAGAAATAAACAAAGTTTTCATTTCCTACCACTTAGTACTCTTAAAATAGCATCTTCTTACTTTATAAAATATATTCCTGTCTAGGAAAAAACTTTAGAAGACCCAAAAAGCATCAAGAATTAGAATTAGAGTAGAGAAAGTGGAGTGTTCACAGAATAAGGAGCATTCTTCCTACACAGGTAATATAAAATTGACCTCATGAGGACAGATATGACAACTAGGAAGTGTTGCTATTGCTTTTTTAGGTAGGTAATTTAGTTTTTCATGAAAATGAAGAAAAGAATAAAAGATGTGAGTGACTGAGAAGTACATCTAAAGAGGTTAAAAGCTTCTACTTTTTCTCCTCTATGGTTTTCTACCTAGGTATCCTATTCGAAAGCTAGTGGCAAATTTACAAGATGCTATCTTCAGGCAATAGCAAATAAAATTCAATATTTCTAATTTTTTTTTTAAAAAGGTATAAACAAAATTTAGTCATGTGGTAAAGAGCAGCATAAGATATTGGTTAGAAGCAGACTCAGGTTTGAAATCTGCATTGGTATTCACTAGCTACATGACTTTGCATAAGACACACCTCTCTGTGACTTTGTTTCCTCACCTGCACCTACCTCCTGGGGTTGTTCGGTGGGCTACAAGAGTTATTACATAGAAAGTCCTTAGCATATTGCCTGGAACACCATCAAGTGTTTAGGAAGGGTTAGCTGAAAAGCAAACTATTTCATAAAGAATTCGGCCTTACCCAGAAGAGGTCTGGCCTTTGCCCTTAACTTCCCGGAGCGCATCTCTAAGCCTTTAGAATGCCATGCTTGACTGGAGTGTTTTTGTTTGCCTAGGGATCTTGAGTCAAGCTAAATAGTCTAACAATGTGATTTAGGGTAGGGGCTTTGGGTCATGTAGTATCAGCTCTTCAGAGGGGCTAGAGACTGAGATCAGCCACATGGTCGGTCAACTCTGACTACATGCTGGAGCCCCAGTGAGAACTCTGGACACAAAGGCTCTGGTTAAGTTCCCTGGTTGGCAATACCCTGTGTGTGTTGTCAGACATCAACACTGAGGAAGTAACGCTGTCCATGAATTCAGGTGGAAGAAAAATTGGAACCTCCCTGTTTGGAATGTTCCTGGACTCTGCCCTATGGACCTCTTCCCTTGGCTGATTTTAACATGAGTTCCTCAACTATAATAAACTGTAACTGTCATAACTGTGAATAAACCAGCTTGCAGTGAGTTCTGTGAGTCCTTCTGGTGAATTATCAAATTTAAGGGTGGTCTTGGGGACCCCTGAACTTGTAACTGGTGCTGTGAGGGCAGTGTTATGGTCTATGCTTCCCCAAATATCACACACACACACAAACAAAAAAAAATCTTCATATACATTATCTCATCTAAATCTTATAATAATCCTAGGTGATGAAGTTAAGAGATGAAAAACCAAGGGCTGTTAAAATTTAGTAACTTACCAAGACTTGCTCAGACAAACTTGGAGCTGGGACTCAGAAACAAATCTTCCAACGACAAAGTCCCATGTTCTTGCTACTATACCACAATTGTCTTTCAGGATATAACCATCAGAATATACAAATAATACTCAATGGAAAGCTTCAGAGGCATTATTAAGTAAAACGCTTTACCGTCTGATGTAATCTCTCCTTCTTCCATGCTATCAGACATTACAACTTCCTCCTCGGTATCTTCTTCAAAAGATGAAAGGTCACTAGTATGGACAGAACTAACTGTGATGTCTGTAAGTCCATCCACATCAGAATCTATCAAAGAGAAATCTTTTCAAGAAGAAAATAAAACACAGAAAATAATCATCTTATTACAAGAACATACTCAGAGCTCAATTACTAAATTACATTTAAAATTTTCTGCTTTAAACACATGTCAAAGAAAGTCAACTATCAAATAAGGCAAAGTTGTTTCCAGAAAATACAAAGGCAAACTAGTATCCTGTAAAAATAACTGAGCTATTAATTTACAATGTAAATGATATAACCAGAAATAAATTTTAAGTAAATGAAATATTTATTACCCAATATTTTAAATATTAGGATATACAACTATGAATTAAGGTGCTTGGAATAATATATGTGAATAAATTACAAGATAAATTACAAATTTCAGTTTCTCTGTTAATTTACTCTGTGAATAGATACATTATACAGAAAATAAACATACAAATTAAAGTTTTCAGTGTTTTGAAATACAAATATCAAATAAATTTACTAAAATTTGGAAGCAAATTTGATACCCGCCCTAAATAGACACTTTTTGTTCTTTAAACTATTGTAGATTTTTGCAAGTTTTTATATACCTTCTTTTGTACCTTCAACAGTTTTAGCTTTATTACTATTCTTTTCTGAAGGAAGTTTTGAACTCTCGACTTCTTTTTCCTTTGCTTGTTTTTCAAAAACTTTTTGTATATCTTCACTCCGTTTTGAGTGATCAAATTTCTTTTCGGTCTTTTCCTTCTTCTCCTTCTTTCTTTCTCCTTTATCATTGCTGTCTGGCTTCTTTTCACCTTTGTCTGCTGATTTAATTTTTTGGTCACTGGTTTCTTGTTGAACATCCTTATTTAGCAGAATTAAGTTATTAGTCTCTTTTGTGTGATTTTTAATTTCTTCAACTGGACAAGAGAGATCACTAAATTCTTCAGACTTTGGGGCTATTTCCAGTCCTTCCCCTCCAGAGTCAGCTGTAGATTTTTCTTTATCAGCCACATCCTCTGAAGTTCTTTCTTTGTCAGTACTAGTGTCAGTACTTGGCTGAGATGGGAGTTTTTTTGATACTCTTTCACTGGTCTTGGCATTTGATGTTTCTGTTGAAGCCCTAGCAGCATTAGCTTCTTGGTTAAGAGAAGTGATGGTTTCCAAGATTGACATGGCATCATTGGCTACATTAGCACTGGGCCCAGGAGCAGGAACACCTTAGAGGGAAAGGTAAGTTTTAGAATAATCTTATGTAGAAGGCAAACACCTCTGCTGAATCAATACTACATGGCACTGTCATCTTTTTATGATGCATATGCTGTGCAGACCATTTGTATTCTTTTAGACTTTCAGGTACCAGTGCTAGTACATACCATATTCTGAATTCTCTGCCTCTCTAATATACTCTCTTAGGAAGGGCATCATGAAAATCTGGGGAAAGGCTAATTCCCAGAAAAAGACTATATTCTCTAATTATTATAGCTACTCCCACTATTATGACACACACACACATCCCATTACTAAAATATATATTATTTTTACTAATCTAGAAAAAGAAATATGCCACTTGAGAAATTTGGGTGATATTTAAAATAAATACAATTTCATTAGAGTAGCCAAATAGAGAAATGTTTTAAAGAACTAAATATCCCTAACTTGATACTCAGTTCAAGAAGAAAAGCAATGGAACTAACCAAGAATAAAAGCAAAGCACCTTGTATAACGATGGAAGAGTCTGGTTTCTCATCATCAGGAGCTGTGCTGCCACTTGCTTCCTCTTTGTGATTTAGTGTAGCCAAAAACTCATGCACAGCCTTCTCCACCTGAGGTCTAAACGTGTGGTTGATCTTTGGATCCACAACCTGAGAAATAATTCGGTCAATACCAGACTCCAACATTCCTGATCTGAAACACAGGATAATTTACAGAAAAGTGAAAAATAATTTTGTATTATTTACATTAATTACTTTTAAATAAAACCACATCTGCTATATATGTGTTCAACCTTAAATTGTTCCATCCATTCATCTGGATATACAGAAAGAATAGGCAGTAAGTTTCATGCTATAGTGGCATCTAGATATACCATATTACAAAAAAAAGTCTGTAAACTTTTCCACCACTGTGTCACTGGTGGAAATACTCAAACAGACAAACCAAAACACCCTTACAACTAGACACAGTACACTATCTAAACTCCAGGTGTATAGGTGATACTTATCTCATCCCTACTCAGCCCATGGCATGTAAGAATATGATCACTAAAGCTGAGTTCTGAGTATAAAATAGATCTATGGACTCTGCAATCTTTCTTTTTTTTACACAGAAAAACGTAAGCCTTTTGTAAGCATCGGTGTCTCCAGGAAAACTGAAGAACACACATAAAGTATAATTTCATCAAATTAAAAACAAAAGAAAGAAAACTTTAGTAAGACAAAAATAAAACAAGACTTCTGGCTTTCTTTTTATTATCTTCCCGCTATAAAAACTGATGATTTATTCATTCAACAATTATGTTATGAGTATCTTCCACCTAACAGGCACCGTACTGGCCACTGACAAGCTACAAATCAGACTTGGTTCCTGTTCCGCTTGGGGAGGTAGACAAAATTATTTATTTATTTATTTATTTTTTTAGAGAGACCCTTGCTTTGTTACCCAGTCTATAGTGCAGTGGCATTGTCATAGCTCAATGCAGCCTCCAGCCCCTGGGCTCAAGTGATCCTCCTGCCTCAGACTCCTGAGTAGCGGGGACTATAGGCACACACCACCACCTGGCTAATTTTTTTCAGAGATGGGGTCTCATTATGTTGCCCAGGCTGGTCTTGGACTCCTGGCCTCAAGTGATCCTCCCTCTTCAGTCTCCCAAAGTGCTGGGATTATAGGCACGAGCCGGCCTGACACAAATAACTAACCTATGAGATGACAGGCACTAGAATACGCCATGAACTGTAGGAAAGGAGAGGATTAAGAAATTATTAGATATATACAACATAATTTAGGAATGGTTCACAAAGGAGAAGACATTTGAGCTGAGTCTTGATGTCTGCAGAAGGTAAGGGGCAGAAAGGTACTCCAGGTTAAAGAAATATTACATATAAGAGACAGAGGAGTGATGAGGACAATATCTGAAATGTGCTTTTGCACAAAGGTGTCTGAATAAAATATGAGAACATGAATGTATTTTCAGAATACACTTAAGCTTTCTTTCCTCTTATAAAAGAATTGGAGGAGCTGAAGTTCCCAGGATAGTGCTAGAAGACTCATGTGCTAGTCATTTCCAGTTTCTGGGCATCAGTCTCTATCAAATGAGTGAGGAGGCATATCTCGTTATACTTTACAAGGACTATTTTTTAGTGTAACTCTGTCTGGAGTGGAGGATGGATTAGATTTTCATTTCTGAGCCACCTTGTCACCTTGTGAAACTATAATTCTACTTATGTGGGCCATAGAGAAAAATGAGCCAACTCAGTCCAAAGTAGGTTACCTGCTTTTCAGAGTTCTAAGATTAAAAAAATGCAAATCCTAAAAACATTCTTACAGATGTAAGAATGGATGTAAGAGATGTCTTTAAAATGTAATTGGTAGAAAAGAAATAAGGAAAAGCAATCTTAAAAATGTCTTGACTTAAGGCATAAGTACAAAGGTATAAAATGAAAAAATAATCCCCCGATTATTGCTTCAGTCCCTTTCTCTGTTTGCCTATGTTCTAGCCTCATCTGGCAAAATGAAACCCTTCTACCTTAGTCTTCTCTCACAGGGAGGTTAGCTCTGGTCTTAAGTAAAAATGGAGTCCAATGTCAATGATCACACTGTACTTAGTGGCCATAGGTGCCTCACCAAAGTTGGAAGAAGCCACAGCCCAAGGATCAAGGGCAAAGCCAAAATGCCAGTAGCTGGCATTTTTATGGTTAAAATTACTTCCTTGCCTTGCTTTTAAATTCTGTTTAGTTAAGATCATTATTCAGAGCTATCCAGAATTTTCAGATTCTGTTGTACAAATGAATGCTTAAGTAGAATAAAATTTTCCCTCCTACTGAGTCAGCAGATTAGCTATTAAGTTGAATCATCTGAAATTACTGATATTTAGCAGATAGCTCAACCTAACTGAGTCAACTGAGTATTTCTCAAAGTCTATCTATGAAAAACCGCTTGAAATTATATTTTTTTAATAGGGGTTAGTCCATCCCTATACCATCAGTTTAAACACAACTAATAAATCCCTTTCTTTAAGGAAGCTTTAAGTGTCATTATTAGTAACACAGAACTACTAATGGTACTTAAGTGAAAATAGTTCATTTAAAAACAAATAATATAACTAGAAGAAAATTTACAAATGTCTCAGGAAGAGCAATGTCTAAATTATCCAAGAGAAGATAGCTGTTTTCCCTCTTTTAAAATGTCTCTAGAATAACGGATTCTTCATTACTCACAGGTAGATTGCTCCAGTATTTAGTCACTGACATAGTCACAAGAACCTCTTACAACTCACCAACACGATTTTGTGATTTTGTGATAACAATGTATTATATTGGTACAACAAGAATTTAAAGTACCTAATTTTCTCACACGCAAGATTGAGTTTAATTCCTTTAAATAAAAGAACAGAATAAATAACTGCTCCCTTACCTTATAGATTTTGTATGCTAATAAACTAAATGGAATTCCAGGAAGTCTGCCTTCCATTTGAGTCTCTCAATAGATAAAGAATGCAATACTCCCCAAAAGATGCTTTTAAGGCAATGCATTCATTGTAAACAGAGAGGGGGTGGCTATGCAAATTGTAGAATGAATGCGCTAAGTGATCGGTAGAACACAGTATAAATACATTGGTGGGGGCAGAGTGGCACTGGCAGTAAGCCTGCCTCCACTCCCCCACCTTCCAGTACTACATTATTCTCGTTATTGTCCTCCTGAAGGCCCTCGCAGAAATGAGTAACCCTCCCAGCCTGTCACCCAACAGACCTCTTCTGTCTCTACTTTTTCTGAAAATAGCTTAGACCTTTCCCCAACAGGTGTTACTATGCTGCCCTCTAATGGTATCTTTTGATTTCAACTGGACTCTTGTTTAGCTTCCTCACACATCCTTTAAAATGTAGACAACAAAGCTATTGTTAATTTCCCTCTTGTCTTATGCACAAGAAGAGCCTGTCTGGGCCCTCAGGCTCCTGGTTTCTAGGATTACCAGTGGCTAAATGGGTCTGTCTTTTAGTCAGGGTGTGAATTTTTATTTGTGGGATTTTCTGTTGGTTGAAACTGTCACAGTAGATAGGCAGCAAGGTTCCTATGGGACAAAAGGAAATTAAGGTGGCAGGTATAAAATAAATTTAACTGTGTAAAAGCCACATTTTATCTCAAAGATGTACCTGACCATAAATATTTGTCAAGTCAGGGAAACCAGATGTTCTTTAAATAACTTAGTCACTCCTTTGGGATGAGTGTGTGAAGCAAGGCTAGAAGGTCTTCTTGTCTTGGCAAATATTTATATTCAAGAACAAGTAGAAGACTTTTTTTTTTTTGAGTAAATATGATTTTTTTAGATATCTCTAAACATTCCAGCTCTTCTCATTCTTTTTATCTTATGTTTACTCAAAATGGCTCTGATGGGTCCACTTTTTTATTTTTTTATTCATCATCACTAAATAGCAGAGTTAAAAGTCATAGTAAAATACAATTAAAAGAGGGAGGAGAAACATATTAGAAGGTATAAGACATGGACTCAAATCAAGGGAAAATATTTTCATTTCAGTGATCTTTAATGTCCTTATTTGTAAAACAAGAATAATAAAGCCTGTTCTTTTAGGGTCAAGAAAACAGTTCTAAATACCACTGTATAGGAGATCTTATGGAATTTATCATCAATTAATATTATATCTAGTTTTTTTTTCCTCTCTTTCTTTCTTTTTTTTTAAGTCATGTTGTTATTTCCTCCCTTCAAATATTTCCAAAGGTCCACGGGAAAAATCAGACTGGCAAAATTCGGCGGGGGGAATATGATGTGATTAGATCATGTTACAAAATTATACTGTATCACATAAGACTAGCCACATCAAACCTGATAAAACTGCCAACATCATTACGTTGAACAAACTTCCATGTAATGTCTCTGCTTTCAGGCAAAGTAGGTTGTGACATTTTCAAACCTGCTTAGGAATACTTTTTCTAAGACTTACTTGAGAACTTGTTGTCTAATATTATTTCTTAGCTGGTTTTTATTGAGATGGGGACTCCAAGTGTGAGTTGCCAAGTGGTTTGCAACAAAGTTGTCAACACGCTGCCTCAGGTTCTGATAGGCAGGCTAGAGAGAAAAAAACCAAACATAAATGTTAAAAAGCTTCAATGTTATACAATATCAATATTGACAGTCACAGGAATGTAACTTTGTGTTACCATTTCTTAGACCACAGTATTAATGTATTAATGTGGCAACAAAGTATTTTCATAGTTTATGACAATCAGCTTTAGAATAACTTATACTCATAAAATACTGCTTATTTTGTCCAGGACCAGGTGTTTGGAAATATGAGGAATAGAAAATAAAACACAAATAAATGTTATTGTTAGATAGTTTAAAGAAAAGGAGAGAATCTGACACTGAAAATGTTGCATTTGAGCTGGAAAAATCAGTTTCAAAGTTTCAAAATGTATCTGGGAATGGGAATGGCCAGCTTTGCAGATACAGCCAACAATACAAGCAAAGAGCAAGTAGATGAGAAAACTTGAGGTCAGGAGCATTTGGAGAATCCCCAAGTTCGTAGTCCAATTTGGTTGGAGAAGAAAATATAAAGAAGCAGACAAATGAAGTTGAAGACAGGTGCTGGAAGGTTTTGGGCACCTGTACAAGAAGTTTAGAATGATGGGGTAGAGAATGGGAACCTGGCAGACATGGTGGCTCCCACCTATAATCCTGCACTTTGGGAAGACAAGGTGGGAGGGACACTTGAGGTCAGGAGTTCAAGAATGGGAAACCACTGCATATGTGAGCAGAGTGATATGACAACTGAATTTTCTGATGATTAATTATCCTACAGTGAAAGAGCAAACAGACATAAAATACACTTAGGAAAGTATGCAATAACTAAAGTGAAGGTCTACACTGGGGTGGCAGCAATGAGTTGAAAGGCATTGACCCGAGAGAAATTATTGATGGACCACCACTTGAACTAAGCATTAAAACTGACCTAGGTCAGTGGTTCTCAACCAAGAGTGAACCCCTCCCCCCACCCAGCCCCGGGGATATCTGGCACTGTCTGGAGACATTTTTGGTTGTTACAACTGAGAGAAGTGCTACTGGCATCTAGTGGGTAGAGAGTACAGACACAGATGCTGCTGAACATCCCACAAGGCATAGGACAGCCTCCCCACGTTCCTCCCCACCGCTCCCCCTCCCCCCGGCAGCAAAGAACTATCCATCCCTAGCTATCCACAGTGATGAGGCTCAGAACCCTTGACAGAGGAACAGGGAAAAGGGACACATACTATGTCATTGCTCCTTAAAAGGACACTGCCTGGAAGGAATGTACTGTGCGTCCATTTACTCAGGACTGCACTCTATTCCTAGAGGCTGTCCCCTACCCCTCGTGATCTTTCTATCCCTCTTTTATACAGTTTTTAATGTAGATTAAGTTGAGTGTCCCTGTAAGATTTTAAGCAAAACCGTATAGCCTCACCTTCTGCCATTTGTCCCCCTTTACCTTCCAAGTTTATACTCCAGTGATAAACTCTCGTGTCTTTTATAGTCTGCGCCTACCTTTCCCTCTACTTGTCCCTCCGGCAAACTTCTCACCCTCAGAGCTCACCCTAATCTGTGAAGTCATCCTGACACCTAAGGTAGGCTTATGGGGCCCTTTGTCCATGTTCCTACTGTCTTCTACACATACTACCATTCAAGCAATTCTGGCACTGCACTGTATTTTGGGAAGGGGGGATATTTATTTCCCCACAGAAGTGTGAGTCTGTTTCTTCCTTAACCTTTGTTTTTACAAAGCCTATCATACTGCTTGGCACTGGCAGATAAGCAATTAAAGAATAGTTGTCAGATGACCGGGTAACTGTCTCTAACACAGAATGGTAAAAGCTGTATCCCTGTGCGATGCCCTTTCATCATTTCCAATTTTCAGACTTTTGCTGATACCTATTTTCTATCCTACAAAGAAGTCTCATGAATATTTGTCACGTTCCTCGCCATTTATCTAAAATCAATGTGAACTAAAACTAATTTTTCCTCCCTAATGATTTTAAAGCATAATTTTTCTTTCCAGTAATCCCATATCTAACATTAGGCTCAAACATCACAATGCATTCAGTATTCTAGTCTAGTTGTCCCACAACAAATTCAGATTTGAACTATGCAACAGGCAGTTTTCTTTGTTTCCAAATTCTTCTTTCAGTAAAAAGTGACTAGAGAAACACTGAAAATTCATTGTGAAATATTCTTTTAGGAACATATATATATCACACATACTTTCTTCCTTTTCCAGTGGTTTGGTCAAGTGCCTTGGAGTCATCCTTGACCCATCCCTTTCTTTTCTAACCCACATCTGTCTGCACTAGCATCAAAATGCACCCCAAATCTGACCACTTCTCACTACCTTTATTGCTCTTACTCTGGTTCAAGGCATTCTCATCTCCTGTTCAGATTATAGCAACTGACCTCCCTGCTTTTACCCTTGCCCTCCCAAAGTCTATTTTCCAACAGAACAGTTAGAGTAAATCTTCTAAAATCAGGTCACCCATATATATAATTTATTGTCCAAATCAGATCACAACTGAGCATGAAAAGGGGACACTATTCATAATTATGCATGGTAAAAAAAATAATAATTATACATGGTCAACCCATCTAAAATGGAAATCAGATTATGTCCTTTGTTGTTTTGTTTTTTTTTTTTTTTTTTTTTTTTTTGCTCAAAACCTGCCAATGGCTTCTGAGCTTGAGTAAAAGTCAAACTCTTCCAATGGCTCCCAAGGCCTGCCACATCTGGGAAGGCAGAGGGGGGCACTCTGATAGCACCTCCTTTCATGTTCCCTTCAGCAGGCTCTGCCTCAGGTCTTTTGCACTTGCTATGCTCTCTTCTTGGAATGTTCAGGCCCCAAATAGCTGCAGCTGGCTGCACAGCTCCCTCAGTTCCTTCATGGATGGCTCAAGTATCATCCTTTTGAAACCTTCTCTGAACAACTTACTTGAAACCAAACAGTAAGCCTTTCCACCCCTCATGTTGCTTTATTTTTTTCCATAAAACCTATGAAACAATATTTGTTGTCTTTGCCTGCTAGGATGTAAGCTTCATAACAGTGGGACTTGGGTTCACTGCTATATCCCTGGCACCTAAAAAAAACTGCCTGGTACGTATGAGTTGCCCAGTGAATGTCTGTTGAGTGATTAAACTGATCAGGAGCCATTTATAACTGAGCAAGTAAGTGTCCCCAAATCACCTTTTATTACTTGGGAAGAGAGATACCATATTTGTTAAGTTGGTGAGCTCCATGTTTGGGATAGAATGATGGGCCTCTTCATATTCCCTCCTCATACTCCCCAGTGGTTAATCAGTGCAAAGGAGTCGGAATGGCTTTGTGATCACCGGGCTTGCTCTAGAGATCTAGGAATTTGTGGTCTACCATGGAGGAGGCTTGGCAGTAGGTGGATCTGTGGGCAGCCCCAGGTTCTACTTCTTTGGGTGGGAAAGGCTGATTTGGTCTGCTATAGTCATATCTTTCTCTTAGCTGAGGATCATCAATAACCCCAGGATAGTTTGGGGGATTCTATGGTCTTCAGGAGTAGCAGCAGAGTTTGTTACTTCTCATCCTGGTTGAAACACACTAAGCTGGATGACGGTTTTGCTCTTGAAGAGTACCTGGTAGGTATCAAATGTCTTGATTCTTAAATATGTATGTGACTGACATAATCCAGTCACTGCTACTACCCTATATGAAACAGGTAAGACTTTTTAACAGGAAGCAGGTCAGTCTTGGAGGTTCAAGTATCAAAGCACCCAAACCATAAGTGGCAGATGAAACCCAGGGACATTAAAGTGATGCTCCTTTGCATGAATAGGGAATCTTATTTCTACTTGGCCCATTCATTACATTGATATGAATGTTAAGTTCCTATGAAGAAAATTTTGGCTTTTATATACATATATTTTTTAATAATAAAATGGAGTGTAAAATGCTACACAATAAGAAAAAATATTTTAAATTAAATTAAAATCTACATAATTGCTAATTAAAGGAGAAGCTGGAACATAACCTGTAACATAACCAGAAGAAGGTACAGAGGTGGTAGGGGTGTGGAGGGGATAGAGATAGATATCATGGGAGAGTTTGAGTGAGCAGCCATACCCAGGTGTTCTCTTCTGTCTAGGAAGAGGATGTCATTTCAGTTCTCCTTTTCTCTAGCCTCAGGCATTAAAACAGGGTATCTTATTCTGTGGTCCCTGAACTCCCTGAAATTATATATAGTATTAGGTAGAGCCATAAGAAATTGTCTATAGTCAACCATTTTGAACTAATACAAACAGCATCTTAACATGTATATACGCATTTTTCTTGGGAAAAGGTCCTAGCCTTCATTAGATTGTCAAAGCCACTGTGCTTCCCTCATTCTCCCCAAAAAAGGTTTTAATACTCCACTTTGAGGGGGTCTAGCAGGAATATTACAACACAGAACAATAACATTCAGTGGGGATGAGATGAAGAAAAAGTTGAACCTTAGATATTGCAGTCCCCCAATCAGTATATTAAAATTTTCAATTTGCATACACAATGATAACACACAGATTCATGGATTTCTGAGAACGGCAAAGTGAAATCTCTACTTATTGGATACAAATAACCAGCTTATTTGGGTAACATTTACCTGGCCATGTCAAATCTTTTCCCATTAAATAACAGTAATAAAAAAGGGTAACAAGTCATTATTTTTAAAAAAGGTGGCTGTGCAGATTGCCTAAAACAAAGTAAGAAAAGTAATATTAATACTTCCTACATAGAGGAACACTCCCAGAACACTCCCAAGAAAATTGAATTCTCTGTGGTGCAAAAAATCCAGGACCTGAAAAAGAAAACTCGACATAGCGGGCCCAGTATCAGAATCCTTATAATGGAAGATGTTCCCAGATTTTCAGGAGGGTGTCCCCAGAGGAGACAGGGGAACTGTATGCAGTTCACCTCAAAGCCTGGGAGGAATCTGTGGATGCTGCAAACACCCTTTTCTTAAAGATATAAGGCTCCTAAGAACAGCCACATATAGAAAACAGACCCTCACTCCATCAAAACTCCAATCCAATAGATTCACCCAGATCTAAGCCAAAAACAAAAACAGAACAAACAGAAAAGCCAATTAATTT